GATTGTTCTTCATTTAGTCACCCTGAATTGGCAGAAAAGTCTCTTCTACAGTTTTGACACAGAATATGTGGTCACACAACTAGTTCTCGGGTCATGTTAGGATTTCCATTCCCTACCTCTGTTTCCAACTTTATTTTACTTGCTCTCCTATATCCAAAGCAGCCAGGGACAGGTCATCCCCCTTCAAGTCTTTACAACATTCTTTCATCTAGATGGCATTCTTCCTGGTACAAATCAAACAATAACCATGTGTTTCAATCCTCAGTGTAATTTTTGTCTCCTTCTAAAAAGTATTCTTGATCTCTTCTTCCTACAGTAAGCTCTCCTGATTTCTATTCCTTCCTTCTTTGCCTTTTTATCTATCCACTCATCCATATTTACTCATACTACTCAAAGTGCTAGCTACATACCAATGAACAAACAGAATTTTTACTTACACTCTGGTACAGAGAACCAGGTAACAAAATAATAAGTAAGTTCAGACAGACTTTAAATAAAGGAGTAAAGAAAATAAAATAAGGAAGGGAGACAGAAACAGAGTCAGAGAAAGATGGAGAGAGAGAGAGAATGTGTGTGTGTATATGTGTATGCGTTTGGGAGAAAGTGGCGTGAATTTTAGACAGGCTAAGCTTACTGAGAATGTATCCTTCAAATGAAGGTCTGAAGAACATGAGTGAGCAACTTCAAAGATAGTCTGGGTTAGATATGGAAGCAAAAGGCTAATTAGAATGGGTCCAAGATGCCGCAGTCTGGCTGGGCACAAATCACGAGCCACTCAAGCAGGAACAAACTTTATTTCTGAACTCCACCAGCACACTCCACACACGCTCCCCGGGAACTCTCCCCAACGCCACCCACGTGGCTCCTCCAGGAACCACCAACCGGAAATCCCTCCTCCGGCACTTCCCCAACTAATTCGAACTCTCCAGTAATCCCCATGATAACTCCAAAGTAGCATGAAAACTCCAAAATAAGGTCTAATATACAATTGAATCAATCCAGCATCATCTTAATAGCTCGGCCTCTCAACCATTACTTCTGGCAAAATGCCAGGGGCCATTCCGACTCAGCTGTGGCTCTCAACACCAAGAGAGAACAGAAGCATAGAAACTAGAAACAGCAAATGTGGGCAACTCCTTTAAAACATTTTGCTATAAAGGTATGGAGAGAGAAAAAGAGTGATAGTTGGGGAGGGAAGAGTAGTCAGAAAAAAGTTTTCTTCTATATTTTAAGAAGGGAGAGCAGGGATGGGGTTGTGACTCAGTAGTAGAGTGCTTGCCTAGCATGTGTGGGGGAGGGCCTGGGTTCAATCCTCAGCACCACATATAAATAAATAAAAATAAAGGTATTGTGTCTATCTACAACTTTAAAAAAAAGTCTCCTTTTGAAAACAAAGAAAGGAGAGAAAACAATACATTTCTTTGCTGCAAAGTTTTATTTTATTTTTATTTTTTTGGTGCTGGGGATCAAACCCAGGCCCTCATGCATGCTCACTCTACCAGTGAGTCATAAACCCACCCCCAGCTAAAGGTTTTAAATCCTTAATAAAATAATAAAATCTAAAAAAGAAGGATAATACTTTATACTTATGTGAGGTCTCTGCAAAGTTCAAGGAATAAACAATACTTACAGAAGACCAGGCAGCAATTTATGAATTAATGCCATCAGTGACCTCTGAAGGGGGTATCATTGTACTCTTCATCCATCAGATCTGTTCTACAGATACCAATGGATATCACTAATCTTTTTTTTAAATACATTTATTTATTTATTTATTTATTTATTTATTTATTTTTACGTGGTTCCAAGGATCAAACCAGGGACTCACATGTGCTAGGTGAAAGCTCTACCACTAAGTCACAACCCCAGCCCCAATATCACTAATCTTTTGGAGTCAAAAAAAAGAGATGAACAGAACTGGAAGATCCATACTCTATTTCTTCTCAGGAGATTGACCACATATGAGAATACATTCGTCAATCTCCTTTCAACAGATTTTGGTATAGAATGTTAGCAAAGGGTTTCCAAAAGCAAATAAGTTGATATGCTCAAAGAAAAAGATTGAGGAATAGAAAAGGGATTTCTAGCTAGGCACAGGGGCATACTCCTATAATCCCAGCAACTTGGGAAGCTGGGGCAGGGAAGATCACAAAGTCAAAGCCAGCCTCAGCAATTTAATGAGGCCCTAAGCAGCTAAGCAAGACCCTGCCTCAAAATAAAAATTAAATAGTGCTAGGAATGTGGCTCAGTATTTAAGGGCCCCTGGTTTCAATCTTTAAATCTAGTACCAAAATAATAATAATAATAATAATAATAGAATTCCTAGCCTTACAAGATAATAAATAAATTATATGACAATTTAATATCAAGAAACTTTCCCAAGAGAATATAAAACAATGATATAAATGCTTACTCAGCAATTTTGAAACACATTAACATCCTAAATTAACAACCAAATAAATCCTACCTGTAACAAAGTCATTTTTCAGAAAATATATTTCTCAGCTCTATGAAAAATGGGTGAGATTCTTAGCTTAGAAGCAGTAATTTTTTAAAAATGTGTATTTTTTAAGTTGTAGTTGGACAGAATATCTTTATTTATTTATTTATTTATTTTAAATATTTCATTTGTTTTTATTTTATTTTTTTTTAATGTGGTGCCAGAAATTGAACCCTGTGCCTCACTCATGAGAGGCAAGTGCTTTAGCACTGAGCCACAACCCCGACCCTCTTTATTTATTTTTATGTGGTGCTGAGGATTGAACCCAGTGCCTCACATGTGTGAGACAGGAGCTCTACCAATGAGCTACAAAAAACGTAAATTTTTGGGCTGGGGATGTGGCTCAAGCGGTAGCGCGCTCACCTGGCATGAGTGCGGCCCGGGTTCGATCCTCAGCACCACATACCAACAAAGATGTTGTGTCCGCCGAGAACTAAAAAATAAATATTAAAAATTCTCTCTCTCTCCCCTCTCTCTCTCTCTCTTTAAAAAAAAAATGTAAATTTTTAATAGATATTAACTGAATGCCTTCTATATACCAGGCAGTATTTGATATACTCTTTCTTTTTGAGAGAGAGAATATTTTAATATTTATTTTTCAGTTTTTGGCGCACACAACATCTTTATTTCAGTCTATGTGGTGCTGAGGATCAAACCCAGCGCCCCGCACATGCCAGGCAAGCGCTACCGCTTGAGCCACATCCCCAGCCCCTTGATATACTCTTTTTGTTTTGTTTGTTTGGTTGCAGTACTAGTGACTGAACTCAGGGATACTCCACCATTGAACAATATCACTATCCCTTTCTAGTTTTTATTTTGAGACTGGGTCTGTAAATTGCCCAGGCTGGTCTAAATTTATAATCTGCTTCAACCTCTCAAGTAGCATATGTGCTTAAAACACACAAGGCTCTGAGTTCAACTTCTAGCACCAAAAACAAATAGTAATAATAAAATAAAAATTAAAATTAGCAGCATGACTAACCAGGAAAATTTTTGATTAAAAAATTTCAAAAGGGAGCTGGGTGCAGTGGCAAAAGAATATTTATAATAGTATTTTATTAATTTAAAAAAAGTTTCTAGGCATAGTGGTGCATGCCTGTAATCCCAGCAGCTAAGAAGGTTGAGGCAGGAGGACTGTGAGTTCAAMGTCAKTCTCAGCAAAAGCAAGGTGGTAGGCAACTCAGTGAAACCCTGTCTCTAAATAAATAGGCTCAGTGGCAGAGTGCCCGAGTTCAATCCCTGGTACCCACCCCCCAAAAGATTTTTTTCAAAAGGAGTCTGGGGATGTAGGTCATTGGTACAGTGCTTGCCTAACATGCATGAGGACCTGAGTTCAATCCCCAGCACTGCAAAGAAAGAAAGAAAAAAATTATCAGAAGAGCCAGGCATGGTGGCACATACCAGTAATCCTACTGACACAGGAGGATTGCAAATTCAAGGTAGCCTTGGCCGCTTAGAGAAACCTTGTCTCAAACTAAAAACTAAAAAAGGGTTGGAGGGCTGGGGATGTGGCTCAAGCGGTAGCGCACTCCTCTGGCATGCGTGCGGCCCGGGTTCGATCCTCAGCACCACATACCAACAAAGATGTTGTGTCCGCCAAGAACTAAAAAATAAATATTAAAAATTCTCTCTCTCTCTCTCTCTCTCTCTCTCTCTCTCTCTCTCTCTCTCTCTCTCTCCTCTCTCACTCTCTCTTTAAAAAAAGAAAAAAAAAAAAAAGGGTTGGAGATGTAGCTCAGTTTTACAGCACCCCTCAGTTCAATCTCCAGTATTGAAAAACAATTTTTTCTAAAAGGTTAAAAATCTGGAAAGTTCATTCCAAATCTAATTAAAATATAATCTGGTATAATCTGGACCATAATAGACAAAAGGGAAAATAATACCAAACTAGTCCCATACAAGAAAATACAAAAAGATTTTTCATATTTGGAACACATTCATTTTTGCTAAAAACCAAAGAAATGATCTTAGGTATTATTTTATATACAAATTCCATATTATTGAGATGGGTGGTTGAAAAGAGACATAAGCAGGTTAACTTTATCCTGCAACCTAATTTGTAGATGATCTCTAAAGCAAGATACAGAAAAAACTAAAGCAATGTTTAGTCTCAGACCAGAGAATGCCACTTAAAGCATTATAACTGAAGAAATAATTTAAGTGATTCTAAAGGTGTAACAGAAGCTATAGTAAGATAATCCAGAATACCAGAAATAGTGACATGTGAAATAGTTTTTAGAGATTCTAATTATAAACATGGAAAACTGTTAACAAAATAAATTCTAGGAGACAACCACAGCAATTATAACAATATAAAAATTTTACATATACATTCAGAACTTAAAATGAAAATGAAATGAAGGAATCATAGATAATTTTAATTTTAGTCTAACATTTTATAATGCTTATCTTTTTATTTAAAAGGTGAGTTTATTTTCACTTAAAATATTACTGTATGAAAACAGCATTTTAGTAGTATATAATAAAAGAGAACACATACCTGATACTCGTCTACTAAATCTGCTAGGAACTGGAACTGCAAAACAAAAAAGCAACATTTAGTTGTCATTATGTCATGTACCCATTCTTATTCCCCCCGCCCCACTTTTATTTTAAATATTTTTTACTTGTAGATGGATACAATGTTTTTATTTTTACTTGTTTATTTTTATGTGGTGCTGAGGATTGAACCCAGGGTCTCATGCATGAGAGGAAGTACTTTACCACTGAGCTACAACCCCAGCCCTTATCCTCCCCTTTTTGCAAAAATCTTTGACAACAAAACTATGTATCTTAAAAATCAAGTTGTGGGTCAGTTCATACTCTTCCATATTTAACCACAAATAACTGTTCAATATGATCATATAAAGACAATACAGAAAATAAAATATCTCCTTAAAAAAAGTTCTTTATAACTTCAACATACTTAAAGCGGTAATTTTACTTCTGTTCACATTCATGTTTCATCCAATTTTTATCATTCCATATAAGAAGTCTTCCAAATTTCCTGAAAGGTTATGATACCAAGTAGTGAAAATTTCCTCTTTAATCTTTTTTAAAGATAATCCTAGACTTGCTAAATCATAAAACACAAATTCTATTTTTAAAGCAATTTAATCAGTATTACACTACAATTGAAAATAAATTGAGCACTAAGTTATACTTCTAGATATGGGTAGGTTTTCTTCTGCTCATAGTCAGTATATTAATCAGAAAAATGGGGCTGGGGATGAGGCTCAAGCGGTAGCGCGCTCGCCTGGCATGCGTGCGGCCCGGGTTCGATCCTCAGCACCGCATACCAACAAAGATGTTGTGTCCGCCGAGAACTAAAAAAATAAATATTAAAAATTCTCTCTCTCTCTCTCTCTCTCTCTCTCTCTCTCTCTCCCTCCTCTCTCACTCTCTCTTTAAAAAAAAATTAATCAGAAAAATGTATCACATATCTTTATTTTTGGGGAAGAAAACCTTTCTCAGTTATTTTTTTCTACTTTTAACCCATCACATTATCTCTGGTGGTTATCTAAATTCCTATTGCCAAACTATATCATTTGCATAAGCCTTTTAATTTTTAATTTTTTTTTTTTTTTTTACTTTTGTGTTACTAGGGATCAAACTCAGGGCCTTGTACATGCTAGACAAATGCTCTACCACTCAGGTACATCCTGAGCCCTTTTATTTTTTATTTTGAGATAGAATGTCACTAAGGCTAAGTTACCCAGGCAAGCCTCAAATTTGTGATTCTTCTGCCTCAACCTCCTGGTGCCCAACTGATTATTTCTATTTTTAAAAAATTACACACACACACACACACACACACACACACCTGGGCATGATGGTACACATCTGTAATCCTGTAATCCCAGTAACTCAGGAGGCTGAGGCAGGAGGACTGCAAGTTAAAAGGGCAGCATTGGCAACTTAGAGAGACCCTGTCTCAAAAAAGGGCTGGGGATGTAGCACAGTGGTACAAAGACCCTGGGTTCAATTCCCAGTAGAAACAGACAAATATAAATGAATGAATGACCAAATGAATGAATGAAGGGAATAAATAAAATAAACTGGGAATATAAAGGAATGTCCTCAACATAATAATGGCCATTTATTAAAAACCCACTTGATAAAGTTGCCAAGACCATTCAATGGGGAAGACAGTCTCTAAAAATACAGTGCTAGGAAAACTCAATCTCCTCATGCAAAAAAAACTGAAGTTGACCCTTACTTCAGACAGTATTTTAAAAAATTAACTCAAGCCAGGCACACTGGAGTATGCCTGTAATCCCAGAGGCTCAGAAGACTGAGGCAGGAGCCTCAGCAACTTAGCAAGGCCCTATCTCTAAATAAAATATTTTAAAAGGGCTGGGGATGTGGCTCAGTGATTAAGTGCCCTCTGGGTAGCAAAAAAAAAAAAAAAAAGAAAAAGAAATCATAAACTTGAAAACTAAAATTATAAAACTCTTAGAAAAAAAGATGAGAAAAATCCTGACGTCATATATAGGGAAAAAAAGAGATTCAATGAACTGCATCAAAATTTAAAATTTCTGTTCATCTAAGAACATAATCAACAGAACAAAAAGGCAAGCCATGGAATGGGAGAAAATTATTTGCAAATCAAATCAAATCTGAAATATGTAGACTAGAGGGGGGGAAAATACCCACAGCTCAACAATAAAAAATCAAATAGGGCTGGGGCTATAGCTCAGTGGAAGAGTGCTTGCCTTATACATGTGAGGCACTGGGTTCGATCCTCAGCACCTCATAAAAATGAATAAAGACATTGTGTCCATCTTCAAAAAAAATAAGGCTGAGTGAATTAAAAAAAAATCAAATAGTAGGGGAGGTAAAAATTATGTATTGGGGCTGGGGATGTGGCTCAAGCGGTAGTGCGCTGGCCTGGCATGCGTGCGGCC